TCACTGTGTGCCTATCATAAATAAATAAAACAAAACAAAAAAAAAGTTAAAAAAAAAAAAGAAGTGCTTGGATCCCATCCTTGAGCTACTTAAACAGCAACTTGAGGATGGAACCAGGAATCTAGATATTAATAAGCTCTCCAGGAGATTCAGATGCATCCTAAAGTTTGAGAAATGCTGATTGTATAAATAATCTTCTATCTACTAACAGATTCATGACAACCCATGGACAGCCACCTACTCCCTAGATAGCTAAGATCACCTCCAGAGATAAGGGTGAAGCCTGCCCTAATTCTTCTCCTGTGGAGGCAGGTAGGCTCAGCAGGTGTGACAGTGTTAGCCGGTGTGTCCCAGGAACAGAGACTCACTAAGCAAATGGTTTCCTAGGGTACCCAGCAAAGAGAAAGTCAGATTTTGAGAGTAAGCTGTGTGACTAGAAATGCCAGGGGTCAGAAGCAGAAGTGCTAAATTTTCCTCAAGCTGAAGGAGCAAATCTGAGTCCAGACCAAAAAGAAAGTCCCAGCTCTAAGTCCAAGGACATTTTACAAAGGAGCCTGTGTAGTCTCATGCTCGGTTTTTCTTGATTCTAGCCAAGTGGCATGTGAGTGACAAGGCTTCACTAAGGGCATCAGGCCAGAGAAAATAGTCTGGGACTGAAATGGCCATGAGCAGTGTGCGTGGCATATAGGTTTGCTGTCTACATGGCTGAACTCAGGACTCACCAGCCTTTTTTTCAAAACAGCTGCCACTGGACTGTTTTCAAACTTCTTCCTAGTCAGAAGTACTCAAACAATAGAAAAGCCACAGTTGATTATAATCTAGGATACTATTGTGAGGGAAAAAAATCAAACAAAATGTAAGGTTTATTGGAATGGAACCCCATGCTTGTGTAGTTTATTTTTTTTTTTACCACAGAGAACACTTATCTGATACAGTCTGATTGAGGTATGCAGCTAAAAAGCCTAGCTTATGAAATCACAGCTACTTTGAAGATACAATTTGGCACAGAGCATGAAGTGGTTTGAAAACAGAATCATTCTGAGCAGGCAAGTGTGGGAGGGTGCAGTCAGAAGTTTGCACTCTCCTGAGTTGAAGGAACAGCAAGGTAAGCAGGCAGCGGGGAGCGGGGGGGCGGGGGGGGGGTCGGAGAGCAGAAGGGAGGACTCCTCACTAGAAAGCCTGCCAGTGGTCATCACCAGCTCCAACTCCTCACCACCAGAGCAAGATCAGAAAATTGAGCCCTACCCTCCCTAGTTCACAGAGCCAGGCCTTATACACCCTGTCGCCTCCACGCAGAATATCTTCCCTCTTCCCACCTATCAAAAAGTGCCTGGACTCTTCAGGAATGTTCTTAGATGTTGCCTTACCTCTGAAGTCTTCCTGGGTCCTTGGGCCCATTCCCCTCCCCCCCCACCCGCCACTGACAGATAGATGCCTTCCCCATCACACCTGAACCCTCTCAACATAAGCTTTTAGCGCATTGCTCCCTGTAATGTGTATGAATCTGCTTCTCCCAATAGACCATAACCTACTGGAAGATAAGAACGAAATGTTGGGCAGCCTGGGTGGCTCAGTGGTTCATCACCTGCCTTCGGCCCAGAGTGTGATCCTGGAGACCCTGGACCAAGTCCCATGTCAGGCTCCCTGCATGGAGCCTGCTTCTCTCTCTTCTCTCTGCCTCTCTCTCTGTGTGTCTCTCATGAAAAAATAAATAAAATCTTAAGAAAAGAAAAAAAGAACGAAATGTTACATACTAGCTGCCTGGTGCATAGTAGGAGGGTAACAATTACATACTCAAAAGTGAATAAAGATGCAAAATAGAGGTTCAGAATGATGACCTCATACAGAAACAGTAAAGAAGATAAGATTTGGAGTGGAGGTGGAGTTGCCAGAGCAGATAGTGGTATAGATGTTCTCTCCCCTCATCTTTACTACCTAAGAGTAGGACTTGAAGTAAGGTCTTCTCAGGAGATCTGAAAGTGACTAAAATCCTGGGGAGGAGTGACAAGATGTTCTATACGAACCATGACCTTTCAAGAGATATTTTGGGTTGGGGGTGGTGGGGTTGAGGTTGAGTAGGGAGGCAGTGGCTTCTTCTTCTTTTTTTTTTTAAAAAGATTTTATTAATTTATTCATGAGAGACACAGAGAGGGAGAGCAGAGACATAGGCAGAGGGAGAAGCAGGCTCCCTGCTGAGAGCCCAATGTGGGACTCCATCCCAGGACCCTGGGATTATGACCTGAGCCGAAGGCAGATGCTCAACCACTGAGCCACCCGGGGGGCCCTGAGAGCATTTTTTTTTATTCCAAATGTAAAGGGCTAAGCAAGAAAAGTGATGTTCAGAGTAGTCTCTGTCCTCTAGTCCAGAGAGAGAGAGAGAGACAGGAAGGGCAACTACCAGCCAGTATGCTAAACCAGTTGGGGGTGGAAATGACAATGCCAGCAGAAATCCTACTCAGGGTGAAAGAATGTGCATTTGGCTGGTAACTACACTGTCTCTCTGAGGAGCTTGCATGTGATAAGCAACCAAGACTCAGGTGGTTGCAGAGGCCGGGAATGTGTGGTGGCTGAGGGAGGCTGGCATGTGTGGCAGACAAAAGGGAGGAAGTGTGGGGTGAGGAAATGGAAGCAGGTGCACCCTGCGTGAAGGACCCCCGCAAACTGCTGCCCATAGCCACAACTCAACTTCAGGTGATTATTTCTATTAAGGAATAGAGAGAGGCCCAGGATTGCCAGATCTTTCTAATCTCTAGAAGAGGCGGAAATTCAGATTTAGTATACAATCTCCCGATTTTGAAAAGTAGACAATAATCAAATTATTTTCAATCACACTTGAGCCTACACTGTACAAACCAAACAATAAATGCCTCAAAGCTGAATCTGGGTCATGGGTGGTTCATTGGTCATATGATGATTTGAAAAGAGAAGTAGAGAGTCAAGGAGCACTCGGCGGTTCAGAGGGTGGAATTACTCAATATGATCCAGAGCTTTACCTTCATCTTGTTGGCACCTAGCCATGAACATGGTTTAGATATCCCCATGGTTGTATGTACTCAAAAATGTACACTTCTATCGACATCTAGAAGGAAGAGCATCTAAACATCTTAAAACAGGGAACCAAACTACTCACCATATAGGGAATTTGGTTAAGGGCTGTTTTTTGTGTCAGTCAATAAAATCAAACATTGACATTTGGTGTATTTGGTTGCTGCCCGTGGGAGGGAGACATGTTTTCTGAGCCTCTATAAAAAAACTGGTAAGGATGTGCCTGCGGACCACTTTAAAGAAAGAGAAGTCAAGCTTAAGTCCACATCTCTGAAAAGGAAGCATCCATGAAGTTTCATTTCGGAGCTGTGGTGCCACAGTGGCCCTGGCCTAGATTTCCACTGGATGTGTTCTCACCTGGAAATAAACCGACACCCAACATCGCTGGGTGGTCTATGTGGCTGCTACACCGCGGGTGGGTGAAGGGGCGAGAGCGGTGGAGAGGACGGTGGAGAGGTCCTCCCAGGCTGGGCGGAACCGGAGTCGAAAACCAAACTTAACAGACCGCCCGCCGCCTTAGGTCAATATTCTTAGCTGAATCAATTGTCAGAAAAATAATTTTTATAAGCCTCAGAAGATTGCCGCTGAAATGCTTTAATAGCCATTTTCACTCATTTTTCCATTCATGTAACAGGGGAGGAGGGAGCCAGGCTCACAGGTTCACTGGAGAAACGGTTCAAGGGTTTCCACAGTAGAGAAAGAAGTTGCCTGCAGCTCACACAGCAATTTCAAGCTTCAGGGCTGTGTCGGGCGGAGCAGGATCCGCTCTCCCCACGGTCCTGTCACACAGGGAGTCCTGGAGTTCCCGCAGCACTTGGGCTAGAAGCCAGCCCCCGCCCCCCGCTGCTTGCGGCGCCCCTGCTTGCGATCCGCACCTCCGGAGCCAGGCCGGCCGGGGTCGGCGGCACCTTCAAGAGGAAATCCTCCCGGGGGGGCGGGGAGGAGGTGCGGGAGCGGGAGGCCCGGCGGGCGGCGGGGCGTGCGGGGCGCGGGGCGCGGGGCGCGCAGCGGGGGCGCCCGTCAGGGGCCGCCCTAGGACCCGACGGCCCCGCGGCTGCCCGGGCGCCGCTCGCGCTCCGGCTCCCACTCCGGCTCCGGCTCCGGCTCCGGCTCCCGCTCCCGCTCCCGCTGCGGCTGCGGCTGTGCGCTCGGGCGGCGCTGGGCTGCGGCGCGAGGGCTTCGCGGGGCCGCGGTCCGGGCGCCGAGCGAGCCGACCAGACCTCCCTCCCGCGGGGCTGGAAACTTGCGTTTAGTCCGGCCTCGCCCGCCCGGAGAGCGCAAGGCAGCGAGCGCCGCGGACGGAAAGGTAAGAGAAGAAACCGGCCCCTCTCGGGAAGGGAGGGCAGGGGGCAGCGGGAACGGCCACAGCTCCCACTTGCGGTTTTGCAGCCGGGGGATCCCCCCGCGCCCCTCCCGAGAGCAAAGGAGGCAAACGCTACGTTGCTACCAAGCTTCATCACTGAGCCTCCGGGCTTTCCCCGTCCCTGGTCCCTTTCACTTCTTTGCACTTTCCCCGAGCATCTGAGAGGTTTCTCTGCATCTTTCGGCTAGCGGATACTTCGTTTTTCCTTCCGGGAGCTCTTGCAAAATAGGGAGCTTCCTCGGTTTCTCCTAGGCGTCCCCCCCGCCCACCCCCCACCCCCCAAGAGGAAACAGGTGCCTCTTGTTCAGCTGGTCAGAAACTGTTCCTCCATCCTACACGAGAGTTGGAATGAAGAGAGTTTTCAGAAGTGCCGGTGAGCCCTGTTACTGTAGACCCAGTATCAGGGAGGTGGAGGTGAAAGCAGAGGAACAACGAGGTACCTGTCAGTGACTGGCTGCCTTTGAAATGGTGACGCTGTGAATGACTTTGGACTGTGACTCTTCACAGGGAGAGAGAACCACAGAGATAAAAGCGGGCCCCCGGGAAGAGGATGTTTTGAGAAGTGTTTCAGAGAAACTTCAAGTCGGTAAAGATGGAAAACCAGACCGTAAGTGAACTGAACCAAACACAGCTTCAGCCAAGAGCAGTGGTGGCCCTAGAATACCAAGTGGTCACCATCTTGCTTGTGCTCATTATCTGTGGTTTGGGCATCGTGGGCAACATCATGGTAGTCCTGGTGGTCATGAGAACCAAGCACATGAGGACCCCCACAAACTGCTACCTGGTGAGTCTGGCCGTAGCCGATCTCATGGTGTTGGTGGCTGCAGGCCTCCCCAACATAACAGACAGTATCTATGGCTCCTGGGTCTACGGCTATGTTGGATGCCTCTGCATCACTTACCTCCAGTACCTGGGCATTAATGCATCCTCTTGTTCAATCACAGCCTTTACCATTGAGAGGTACATAGCCATCTGTCACCCCATCAAAGCCCAGTTTCTCTGCACATTTTCCAGAGCCAAAAAGATCATCATCTTTGTCTGGGCTTTCACATCCATTTACTGTATGCTCTGGTTCTTCTTGCTGGATCTCAATATTAGCACTTACAAAGATGCTATTGTGGTGTCCTGTGGCTACAAGATCTCCAGGAATTACTACTCACCTATTTACCTAATGGACTTTGGTGTCTTTTATGTTGTGCCAATGATACTGGCCACCGTCCTCTATGGATTCATAGCTAGGATCCTGTTCTTAAATCCCATTCCTTCAGATCCTAAAGAAAATTCTAAGACATGGAAAAATGACTCAACCCATCAGAACAAGAATTTGAATTCAAAGACCTCTAATAGATGTTTCAACAGCACAGTATCTTCAAGGAAGCAGGTAAGCAAACGTGAGCCACCAAGTCCACAGAAGAAATGTAGGATAGAGTTCCTTACAGGATGGGATCAACTTTGCCTTTAGCTGATGGCAAAATCAAAATACAATCATGCAAATGCTTCACAGTGTAAGCTTCTGCTTTACATTATTAAATCCATCTCTGAAACAAATGAAGATCTAAAAATAGGTGGGGAGGGTGCCTGGGCATCTGCCATCAGCTCGGTCATGATCTTAGGGTCTTGGGATCAATCCCCAGTCAGTGGCTAGTCTGTTTCTCCCTCTGCCTCTCCCTCTCCTCTCCTATCTTTCAAATAAATAAATAAATAAATAAATAAATAAATAAATAAATAAATAAATAAATCCTTAAAAATAAAAAATAAGTGGGGAAGATGTCACAGCACACTATTAGGTATCAGTGTAGGTGTTGTGAAGATATTAAGGGAATATAAACAGAAATTCTAGAAATCCACTTTTAAAGAGTTTGTGACTCTCTGAGAAATGTTATCAAAATTTTTGTGCCATTTGTGGCTTCTGTGGGGAGCAGCTAGATATCTTTAAGAATTCTATGGCATGACAAAGATTTGATAAGATAGTTTGAGAAAGACGAGTCAAAGCAATAATGAAACTTCTCCTACCATTCTACAGCTGCACACTGAGGTATATAACTGAGAGGGGCTCCTGGTCTTGGACTTACTAGTTTTAGGGAAGAACGATTCTATCACCCTCTCCTCCAGCAACCTACAAAGTGTCCCAGCACGCAGAAACTGTAAATGCACTCTGCTCAGGCCATGTTCTGATAAAAAGGCTAACACCAAGCTCAATTCATTTGTTACAAGGAATTATTAGGTTTTTTTTTAACTGTGTTTCTCCTGATAAGCATAACTAAAAATGACTTTATGCTTTCAGATCACCAAATGTGGATGTGGTTACAGCTGAATAGTGGTTTTACTGGTGGATGAAGTACAACTTTGTTATAGTAGACAAGGTTTATGAGACAATGTAGAAATAAAATACTGTTATGTACATATTCAGCCATAGTTACACAATTGTTCTAAGTTATTTAATGAACTTAGCTTTCAGTTCCTTTTCCTTCTTTGCTAAACAGAATAAACACATAGTAAACATTTATTCTCATAGCTGAAAAAGAAAACTTGAAACTGACAATACTGGCTCTTTCTCTCTCTTTTTTTCCTCTGCAAGCAATACAATTCTTCCAGTGTGCATAGATAGAAACTGAGCATACTTTTTAAAGTATGCCTGTGGATTATACATGCTATTACTTCATAAACTCTAGATTAGCTCGTAGATGAAGAATTTTAATTGGAGATATGGGCATGCACTGAAATTACTTACTAATAAGTGTGGGTAATGTAGATATAAATGAAATGAATAAGAAACTCTAACTTAAAAGGGGAGTGTACACCATTTTAAATGATACTGTGAGATTTGATTTGCAGAACATTTATTATTAAAGGTATCTCGATACTGGACAGGGAAGACCTGAGAACTATTGCTAGCTCTTCAATTCCTATTGCTTTGGGTTTAGCAATGTTACCTAATACAAGGCATGTTTGGATCCATTACCCAAACTTGATTATGGGAAATTTAGAGAGATCTGTTGACCATCTGCCAAGACAAACATTAACAAGCACAGTAAGAAAGTAAAGAATATGTACATCTCAATTGGAGATCAACCATGGGTTAATGTCTGCAGCAAAGAAGGTCAGTAAGTAAATTTGTTCATTAGACTCCAATTTATATTCTTGTTATAAATTCTAAAAAAAAAATTGGTCTAGCGTCCTTCTCAATTGTAGTCATTAGTATCTATCAGCAGTATTAATGTGCTTTAAATTGCTAATTATGTTACATGTTCACACTCCTATTTCAAACCTGTTACAACCTCTTTATAGAGGCCGGTAGTAGAAGAAAAAGCCAGAGATTTGGTTTCAAACAGTCCTGGGCTTAAATGCTAGGGTTCTAATCAAACAGGATGACCTTTAATGAACAGAACTCTGAGTCTCAGTTTCCTAATCTAGAAAAGGAAGGTAAGTAGCAGCATCCGGGGTTACTATGAGGGTTCAATGAAACATCTCATGAAATGGAGTGGCAATTAAAACCTGACTGTTAATTAGCCTTCTTCCTAGTTTTATAGTGTGTTGGCAACTGTAAGAAAAAATACATATTTGTTCCTTAAAATACTATGTGAATTCACCATTTAAACACACTAGTTGTTGACCAGATGTGTATATGATAGAGGAACTTCTCTAAGGAACTTTTTAGGGATGCCTGGGTGGCTCAGCGGTTGAGCGTTTGGCCCAGGGCATGATCCCAGGATGCTGGATCAAGTCCCACATGGGGCTCCTTGTGGGGAGCCTGCTTCCTCCCTCTGCCTGTGTCTCTGCCCCTCTCTCTCTTTGTGTCTCTCAAGAATAAATAAATAAAATATTTTTTAAAAAATAAGAAACTTTTTAGTAATTGAGGCATTTGGAAATGTATTCAGAGCATTTGTGTTTATCACAATAACATCACTGTCAAATAGCATTCAAGAGAGAGGGGGCACTAAATGTCCTGAAATTTGCAAGACAGTCCTCCACACGGAAGAAGTGCCCTGTTACAAATGCCAGTAATGCCCTCGCAGAGAAACATGCGATGGCATATAAATCAATAAAATGCAATTAAGTAATATGTCAGAAAATTCAATCTTGATTACAGGTGGGATGGGAATTCAGAGAAGAGAGAGGAAATTGTGGGGCTAAAGGAATCAGAGAAGGCTCCATAGAAGAGGTGGCATTTGAGAAGGCTCAGAAAGGATGGAGCTGATTTGGAAAGTAAAAGTCCAGAGGACAGCCTCCATACAGAAAGGACGTGGCTGGGATGAGAATGTTTTATATTTGAAGAGGAGACAAAGAAGGGCACATGGGTGGGATTTTTATGGTGTTGAGTGATTTGGTTGATGACAATGAGTGATGTATCTGGGAGCAGTACAAAGAAAGATTGGACTAATAGGAGTGTGTGTGTGTGTGTGTGTGTGTGTGTGTAAGAGACAGGGAAGAGACTGTGAAGGATCCCAACTATCAGACAGAGAAAGGAGTTTTAACTTCATGCGGGGGCAACAAATAATGAGGGTGGAGAGCAGGAAGCAGCAGTGAGCAGAATGTTTTTTGGGGGATGATCAATATGTGGATGAGACACATTTGGAGAGCAGGAGACTGGTGGCAGAAAGGCTACCTTGGAAATTGTTGGTAGTGGTTCAGGCCTGAGGTAATAAAATTCTCTATCAGGAGAATTTAAAGGAAGGTGTGAACCAGAGACATGTTTCAAAGAAAGAAAGGGTGAGGTGTGAGCATCATAGATGCACCAGCTGAAGGCAGCACAGCATCAGGGCTCCGAGCCTAGAAGATACTAGTTCACTGATTGATGAGTCAGAGTGAGAACCGTGCAGGGGAGCCAGCTTTGTCCAAAATCAATGTGCCTTTCATTTGGCATTTTTCTCTTCTAAAATTGTTCTTTTCTTAAATCTTCAAAAGGTTCAAACCCCCACCTCCTATAACCAAGAGTCTTTTATTTCAATATCTCCTTTGCATTTTTTTTCTTTCAGGCAAGTTTAATTTACATTTTAATAAATATTTTCTCTGGGACAGATCTTTCTAACCAAGTTATTAAAGTCAAATGTGCATAGCCTCAGAGAACTCCATTTAAAAAGGAAATAAAAGAGTATTTATATGTAAGGGACAAATGTGCATTTTTGTTTATTTTTAACTTGTATCCCCCATGTGGAAAATCCAGATCAGATCTTTTTTTTCCCTATTATTTAGAGATTCAGTTATATTTTAGGAAACTGACTAAATATTTGGCAAATTGAATGAAAGAAGCTACTCAAAATAATGGCTTGGAACTGTGTAGACAAAAGATTTATCTGACTGACTCTTTTGCTTTACAATTGGTTGTTTTGATATTGGTGAGATACAGATTAAATGATCCCATTTGTCACATTTCAGCCCTATCCACACAGTGCCAAAAAAGCCTGTCAGTTTAGCCTATTCCGATGTGGGGCATTGGTGTGGAGCGTATCTCTATTATTGACTGTATATTTCAAAGGAATTGATTAGATCCTTTGGTATTTTGAAGGCACAAAAACATCTTGGTAATAGACTATACCACACATACACACATTCAGTGCAAATATTTGCTTTCCATAGGGTGTAGGGGTGTGCAGAATATTGTATGGAGCAGACTACCAATTTTCTTTTGCACTGAGTCTCCCTTATTAGTTCCTTTTTGTCTGGTGGGAGAACTGTGGAACAAAGTCCAAATACAAACTGCATGAGTTTATGGCAAATTTTTCATTATGGGTTTTATTTGACTAAAGAAGCCTTTAAAATACCAGTCTTTGTTTCCATAAATTTCTTATAAGCCTTCTACCTTAACATTGCTCGCCCAAGAAACAAAAGAAGCTTTTCTTTTTAAAGCAATCCATGCCTTTTGTTGCTGTTGCTATTGTTACTGCTGATGATGATATAAAAGCAATCATGTGTATTATGGAAAACCACAGAAAACTAGGAATAAGGAAAAAAAGGCATCCCTTAACCTACCTCCCAAAACTGCAGTTCATTAGCATTTGCTTATATTCTTTTTCTTATGTTTTCATTTGGTCTTTTTTATATAATTACAGTTATATATATATATATATATACACATATACATGTATGTAAAATTTATACCCTGCCTTTACATAAAATGTTGAAATTCATATTCTCAAGGAAAATAGCAAAGTAAAAGAAAATGGGTAGGATTGAGTCAGTTTTTTCTTAGGCTTGATTTTCTCATCAATAAAAGATGAATAACAATTACTCATAGACTCTTTGTTCAAATACAATGAGATGCATGTGACAAAATTCATGTTTGTTCTCCTCTTGCCTGTTCTTTTCACTACTCTTCCCTCCAGCTTGTCCTTCTCACTGAACTCTGGCCCCTTTGGCAGCCCCGTAGGCATGATTGAGTGG